GTGTGCTGCAATCGGACAAACTGCCGGTGCTTTCTGCAGCGGCCGACTTTCTTCTGTCAGCACAGGCGACACGCGCTAAGTGGCTTGCCCTCAACCCATTCTTGCCAGACAGTCAGGCAGGGGAAGACGACGAGCTGCTGTACGAACAGCACGTCTTAGATCAGTGGGCGCTCGACGTCGAGCTCTCTGACTAGCCTCTGGGTGTTTTTCCTATGTCTGGCTGTCATTCTCATATACCTGCAACCGTTGTCAACAGCGATTTTCTGACCATTGGTGGGTGTCGAGTGGGTGGGTGGGTGGGATGGGGAGACAAGGCCGTGTGCATGCTTCTATGCATGTGCATGCTGCTAGTTTAGTGCGTGACCTGGACAGGATCCCCTCGGGGTTACAGACACGAGTCTCGTTAAACACAATAACCAACCAACCAACCAGCGCTGAGCGTCAGGCGACAAACGAGGTCAGACGAACTTAAATTGAGCAGAATATGCTCAAAGAATCACTTTCATGTGTGTCTTTGTGCGCATGCGTTGTGTGCAGATCTCGATGGGCGCGTTTGTGTGCTGTTTCCGTCATGATGGCAGCCGCAGTGAGGGGCAGCGGGGCTGCCGTCACACCGGCACCGACAGGTGAGGCAAGACCAAAGGCAGATCTGCCTTGAGGCGCCAACACGCCTGCGTGTATCTGTTGCCCGCAGACCGACGAACAGCCGGGACAGCCTGACCACCGAGTTTGCGATTCTGTCGCGCTTTCACGTGCCGGTGGTGCACCTGTGTGAGAGCCTCAAGCCACTGGAGCAAGAAATCACAGCCATGCAAGACAGCATCACTCAGCTCAAGCAATCTCACGGCATCGCTGACCCACCGGCAGCCCGCGGCGATGATATGCTGATGATGAATGTGGGGGGCAGTGAGTGGCACGTGAGTCGCAAGCACCTCACGGAGGGGGACGGCGTGGAGGGCAGTCTGCTGGCGACACTCTTCTCTGGCAAGTTCGACAACCGACTGATGAAGGACGACAAGCAGCGTGTGTTTGTCGACATGGACACCGGTGCCTTCGCGGCCATACACCAGGCCATACTGGCAGCGAGAGCGGTCCAGCAGGCGACTCGGGAGGGCGGGAGGGATGGCTACTCGGCGGGCCGTCTTCTCGCCGACGCGCACAGGAGAGCCTTTCGTGGCGCCGATGATTTCTGGGTGAGGAAGCTTCTCTCGCCCGTCAAGAAGACGCCCGCCAGGGACGACACCATCACATGCACGTGGTCGGTGTCGACAGCTCGAGTGCCCAAGGAGGCGAGGGAGCTCGCCATGGCATTGGATGAGGTGCTCAAGGCGCACGATGACAAGAGGAGGGAGCTCGAGAGGCAGCTCTCTGCCGAGAAGCCGCGGCACGCTCAACTGACCGTGGAAATCCAGGTAGGTTATGGATGGGAAGACAGGAAACTCACGGGATGCATCTCTGTCTGTCTGTCTGTCTGTCTGTCTGTGTGTGCTGCGTCTATCAATCAGGGCGTCGAGCCCTTCCTGGCGCCCCTGAGTGGGGTTGACCCCATCCGTGTGTTCCTCGTGTGCGGCCAGACCATCGCCACCACCCAGTCGACCATCGACGAGATGAGTGACGACATGGCCCTCAAGCGACGCAACACGGCATCACTGTAAGTGAGCACACCCCGAAGAACGTCCCACGTACGCAGTTGGTTTGATGAGGGTGTGACTCCGCCTGCGATCAGGTGGGGCAGCTCGGTCGATGACGTCGCCCCCGACCACGTTCGCCGCCTCATCGACCACCACCGCCGCAAACGGCACGGCGCCTCCGTCGCTGAAGCCAGTCTGCCCCTGCAGCTGGCCAACACGCGGGCGCAGCGCGCCTTTGACTTCGATGCCGACATGTATGGCGTCAAAGTGGACCCTCCACCGGCTGCACCGACGTGAGAAACAAGACCTCATGACCTCATCAACGTGTTCCTTCATTGGTTGTGTGCGCATGTGTGAATGCAGCGGCCCGCGTTGCCTCTTCGTTCGGCTCCCCTCCGGCGCGTCCCACAAGGTGATTCGGACGGGTCTGGGCGCTGTGCCGGCGGCCTACCAGCGCGTCAGCTACCGCTGGACGGAATGGCGAGACGGCTTCGGGAGCGGCAACAAGATCGACGACGGGTGGTATACCGACAGTGTGTCCAGCCCCCACTATGGCGAGTGGTACCGCGAGGCGCTGCAGTCGATGAGGGTGGGGGAGACGAGGCGGGTCATTGTGCCCAGGGGCATGTACTTCACTGACCAAACGGCATACGTGGAGATCAAGATGGAGGACATTCTGGGATGACAGTGAGAGATGAGCCAGTTTAACTGTGCTGCGTGTGCATGTGTGTCAGCGTCTTTTATTGCGTGGGTAGACTGTGTGAGCGTCGTTTTATCTGCGTGAAGGTGAGCCTTGACTTAGTGCGTCTAATCTAAGCTGCTATTGCGGGCTTGGGGGCTTTGCGAGGCTCGGCTGAGAGGAGAGGATGGCTACATGCTTTGAAACCAATCGCGACAAGCGTTCATTGCGTCCACTCCACGAATGTCGATCTCCTCCCCTCATGAAGCGGCACGCGTAGTGTGCAATATACAAACAAAAACTGATCAGTAAGTACACTTAATGCCCCCAAACTCCCTGACAGCAAACACGAAAGAATCACCTCATAAAACTTAGTGTATGCCATCAAGGGCAGCGACAAAGATCACAGAACAAGGACTGCATGAAATTGACACACACACACATACACCCCAGTCCATTCACTCGTCAGCAGCAGCGGTCTCAGTAGCCGCCACAGCTGCCTCATCAGCCACGGGCTCCGTCGGAGCAGCACTCCTCCCATCGTCACACTCGTCTGTCTTGGCGTACTCAATCGACACGCCATAAACCACGGCTTCCTCTGCGCGACACCTGACACACACGCACACACGCACATAAACACATGAAAGCCAAATGCATTGTGTGTCGTTGGTCGGTTGGTCAGTTACCAGATCTCCTCCCAGTGGACGGGGCAGAGGGAGTGTGTGTGTCCGAGGGGCCACGAGAAGGGCAGGGAAACGTCGCTGCTGTCCAGGGAGCTCTTGCACGCGTACTCGCGGCTGCCGAAATCGATCTTCAGGAAACTCTTGTCAGAACCCTCTGCACACACACACACACACACACGCAGCCGTGGCGTTCGACAGAGCCCAGACCAACACCAGTTGTCTCTCTCTCTCTCTCTCTCTCTCCGACGCACCCACCAGGTCTGAAGTGCACGTATGTGTTGTGGTCCAGGAAGAGTTCCATGAGGCCGGGTGACTGCCCGCGGCCGTCCTCAGCAGGGTATACCCTGAAGGGGGTGCTGCGGATGCCGTCGAGGGAAAAGACAAACGAGTTTGGGCAGAGGGAGGAGGTCTCGTGGCCTCTAGGGTCGCTCCACGGCTGCTCAGCATAGCCGCCGTACAGCTGCCAAAAAGGACAAGGGGGGATGGATGTGCGTGTGTGTGCTGCTGTGTCCTCTAATGTGTCTTACATGGTCGCCAGATCTGAACACGATCAATGTGGGCCCCCTGTCAGCGCAGCGCTCGATGAATGAGTCACGACTCCAGCCTCGGTCAGACGGGCTGACGCACCAAACACACACACACACACACACACAGAGCGTGGGCACACGTGGAGCGTCTGCACTATGATATTCGTCTCACTTGTAGAGCAGCTTGAGGGACACGCTAACGGCCTTCATGCCCTCGGTGTCATTGACTGGTTTGCGCGGGTGTGTGAGCCAGTGGCCGATGCACGTTAGGTGGAAGCCGTCGTGCAGCAAGGAGCACGAGTCGCTCACCTTGACCTCGATCGTGCTCGACAGACCGCCCCCGTCAGTCGCCATCTGGCCCATGAGAGAAACAAACAAGGAGGACAAACCACAGGAGTGTTCGCCTTCATCATGAGGTCATGGTGCTGTGTGTGTTGTCCTGCCCTGTGGCTGACCTCTTCGAGCCCATACATGCCCAGCACTTCTCTGAAGGCGCGCCACTCCTCGGGCCGCACACGTGGAGGGGCCACCTCGGTGCCTGTCCGGTGGGCAGTGAGCCGCTGGCGACGGCAGAAATCCACCACCTGCACTCACACGTGCCATGGATGATGCACCATGGGCAGAGCAAGATGGCAGACAGACACACTGCTGCGGACCTTTTGAAAGTGGCTCGGCACCACGTCTCGCAAGGGGCCGCTCCACCTGGCAGACAGAATAAGATGCAGGAGCACCGTGAGGGGGGCACTGTTGTCGACGAGTGGGTCAGTCGCTCTGACTTGCAGAATCTGTTGTAGATGGCGCTGTTCTCTCCGATGTTCGTCAGGGTGGACAGAGCGGTCGACACACGGACACCAAGCGGCATCACCATCACAGACATGACCTTGTCTGCACCCACACACACCCACACACACGCACATACATCAATTAAACCAGCAGGCCCACCATGCTCCTCGTCAGCTCACCGTCTTCGCCGTCATCGAGTGTCTCGAGCTGCTCGTGTCCGGTCGGCATCAGCCCCTTGGGTGGTTTGGCGAGGAACGGCGTCACCGTCTGGACCTCATCGACCCACCGACGCTCACGGCCCTCCAGCTCCTTCTCTAGCTCATTCAACGAGTCGAGGAAGTTGCTCCTGACACACAGTCCCCGGAGCATGTTATTCACCGTCACCGGACCCACCCCTCCGCTCACTCACCACGGCTGGTCTTGCGTGACTCTCCTCCCCACACCGCCGGAGCTCTGCCCACCCTCAGGCACCACAATCCCACTCGTGGGAGCGGTCACACCGTAGGCACTGTAGGACGCATGCGGCGCCCGGTGGTCGATGTGGATCGGCTGTGGCGTGGCGGGCGAGTTGGCTGTCAGCCACGAGTCCAGCCCAAACAGCCCCAAGTAGAACTCCACCACCGACTTGTCTTCGCCGCATGCCAGCACGTCTTGCGGCTTGTGTGGGCGGGGGCTGAGCACGGTAGGCGGACGTGGCGGCACGGATGAGGGGCGATGGGAGGAGGTCGCTGTTTGGTGGTGGTGCTGCCGCATCCTGGCTCCTGGTGGCAGTGGCAGGCTGGCGTAGCCGAGGTCGACTTGGATGATCTTCTCAATCACGAAACGGAACATGCCTGGCAGGAAAGAATCACAGGGCAGGGAAGCATGAGCACTCATTGTGTGGTGGTGCGGCTCTTCTCTTTGTACCAGGGTCGAGATCGAGGAAGTATCTGTCGTCTTCGCCGTCCTTCAGCAGCCGATGCTCCCAACGGCCAGAGAAGAGCCGACACAGAGGGCTGACAGACAGCAGACACAACAGAGGAAGTGCATGGACAAGCCATTGAGCCATCAACACTCACCTTTCGTCGACGCACGTCAGTATCCACCTCTCCACATCATACGGCTGCCCCCCCACGTTCAGCCGCAGGACGTCCACATCGCTCCGCTCGCCCTGTTCGCGGAAATCGGGACACGCTCGTGCCACCACCTCTGCAGAAGCACACAGACACACACGCGCGCACAGACAGTCAGCAGATCCGCCAACGGGAGGCCGGCCGGCGTCTCCATGTGTTTCCTCATTCCTCGGCGAGATCTGACCTTCGAGCCTGGATCTCCTCGACAGCATGCCATCCCTCCTCCTGCCGATCTCGCTGACAAGGCTGCCTGCCTCCTGCTCCACCCGCATCACGGCGCCGTCGAGCACCGAATCCATCCCAGGCTGCTTCATGCCCAACTCACTGGAGGATGCCAGAGGGATATCCCACTGCTGTTTTGCGCTGCTCTGACGCCTGTTCGCAGGACTTTGGAAGCGCGATCGGTCTGCGAGCTTAGCCTTTCCATGAGAAATGCAGGCGCTTATCATCGGGGACGAGGCGCCACGAGGCCTGCTGCGTGCCCGCCGTCCCATCAGCAGCTTCTTTGCATGGTCCCGTGACCAGTGGCAAACCATCGGCTGTGAATCCAAGTGGCGATGGCCGCCCTTCCTGAGAGTGCAGTACTCAGATCCGGTGAGATAAGGACAAAGATCTCGCGTGCAAACAGACTGTTACGTTACATTTGCTCATGTCCGTCTGTCGCGTTTGCTCATATGGTTATCATCAGGTGTTGGAGGAGCAGTACAGGCGGCTGATGTACGAGGACCTGCGCGAGACCGCCAAGGCCCTCGGCTTCCTGGGACTTCTCGCCATCCTCCTCTCAATACTCGTCGGAGTATTCACGTCAGTCAGTGCATGGCAGACAGACAGCAGAGCAAAGATAAGCCACGACAGTCCGCAGTCCTTCCATCATCTGTGTGTGCGTGTGCAGTGAGCACCATGGCGATGACCTCTGCATTGACGTGATTGCCCGTGCGGTCTTCACTGTGCCCTTCGCCCTCTTCCCGTTCCTCTACGCCCTCCTGGATAAACCGCTGGTGCGTCGAGGAGAAGAAGATACATACCCCCATACATACACCCACGTCGCTCTTTCTGTGTGTGCCCCTGCATCTGCCTGTGGCTGGCTGCGGCGCGGCGGTGCGGTGCAGGTGGGTTTGTACTGCTGGTACCACAAGAGGTATCACAACAAGAACGCCCTGACGGACGACGGCCTCACCGACGCCTACTGCCGGGTCGAGCGGTTCGTTCTAGCTTTGATATTCATCGTGTCAATCGCCCTCATACACATGGTCCGCATAGCGACGGAGGGAGGCCCACACCTACACACGCACACACGCCCTTGTGGTTTGTTCGTCGTCAGGACGGGAGAATCACATACCATCATGACTGGGGCTACGTGTGGAGCTCCAAGGAGGACTACTACATCGTCTACCGCAGCGCTCACTGGACGCCCGTGTGTGCGGTGGTGGCTGGGTGGATGGCCTTCAAGTGCGACAGCTTCCTGACGCTCCTGATGCACGTCACACACGTGAGCGCGTTTGCCGTGTTTGAGCTGCTTTGCAAGCTGCCCGGCAACTGGAGGGGCATCATCCCCTACGCAAGTGAGCCATCGGTGGGTGGGTGGGTGCATGATCTCGAGGATGCAGACACCGGCATGTCGTCTGCGTGTGTGTGTGAGTGCAGTTGTGAATGCTCTCTTCTACATCGGATCACGGCAGATAGAGCTCTTCACCCGGTATGAGACGAGTTCACTGTTTCATGTTTGTGCCTGTTGTCCATCTTTCGTCTAATTCGTTGTGTACATGTTCCCCTCATGGTCCTGTTTTGCAATCAGGACCACCCTCTACCAGAAAAACCAGGTAAATCGGCGAATTCGACAAGCGTTACGAACGGGACGGGCGCATGTGTTGCATCGGTTTGTCCGTGCAGGTCCACAAGGAGAAGGAGAGCAAGAAGCTTCTCCTCGAGTCGTTCTCGCAACTTGTGGGCATCGCCGCGTGGTCAGTCAACACAACATGACGACGACACAACACACCAGGCTGACACGCCGGATAATCGCTGGTGTGTCTGGATGTTCTGGCAGGGAGTGGGACACGAGCGCGCCGATAGATAAGGGTACGCAGTCGACGCAGAGATGGACAAAGGACATGGAGTACGTGTTGCTCCTGTCTGTCTGATTGGTTGCGCCATCAGGTTGCTATCAGACCAAAGTGATTGAACACCTGACAGGCCGCCGGCTGCCCGACTCGTCGTACCCCGCCGACAGCTCCCTGCTCAACCCCTCACCGTCATTCAAGGCAGACCAGCTGCCGCAGGAACCCTCCTCCGAACAGCCGTCGATCGAATCCACCACCACCACTACACCCATCGCTGAGAAGAGACACTTCATGTACGCATGGCTAGCTCCTAACACCCGTTCGCAGAGATGAATTCCGGTCCTTGTTCGCTGTCCCTGTCGTCAGGTTTGGATACTTGAAGAGCGCGGTTTCCTCGCTGTGGGCGTGCTGTCCCTCCCGGCGTGGCTCCCGCCCGCATGTGTCCCCGTCCGATGCGGTGGACAAGCCAGCTCAAGACCAGGACACAGCCGCCCTCACCGACGTGCCCATCCAGATCGACGACGACACCAAGAGCGTGTTGTCGGGCTGCTGGACGGAGCACGTCATCATTGAGGACCGGCACAAGATTCAGGATGCGATCCTGCGGTGCGCCAAGCAGGGCGCGAGCTTCGAGATGGATATCAAGTACGAGAGAGCTGACGGGCAGGTGCGGTGGTTTAGATGCGGCGGCAGGTGAGTGAGTCAGACAGAAGGGGACTTCGGCCTGCAAAACGGTGCGTGTGTGTGTGTCTGTCTGTCTGTAGGAAGAAGACCTCCTCAGACGTCATATGTGGCTTCATACAGGTTAGTCAGTCACAACCCAGCAGCGCTTCTGCACATGGACCCCTCTTTTTTCCTCGTCTCGTCTTTATCAGGATGTGACCGACACCCGTCGTCAGGCCAAGGCGCAGGAGAAGCGCGTCAGCCTCCTGCAGCGGGTCGCCGATGCCATTCTCGACGCCACTGCCGTAGTCGATATACAGGTGCAAACGAAACACCGTCAGTCCAGCCATATCATACGTCGTGCGTGTGTCATGGTATGCAGGAGGAGCTGTTTCTCGAGAGCTCGTCTCTGCTGAATCTCTGGCAGAGAAGGCCGCTCGAAGGTCACACACATGCACCACAGGAGAGGGGGCGAGAAAGAGATGGATGACCCGTCTCGTTCTGTCGTCATTCCTTTCAGGCACGTCGCTGACGGATGTGATCGAACCAGACATGGTCCAGTGCCTCAAGAGAGACGTCGTGCTACGCGCGGGGCTGCGGCTCAAGTGCACCATCAAGAGGAAACAAGACGGACAGCAGGCACATGTAACCCCACACACAGAGCACACAAGTGCATTCCACACCCACCACACGCATGTCGCTTCATGTCTGTTGCATCGCAGGGTGAGCTGCTGGCCTTGACGGATGAGGACGACCCTGCCAGCGTCTTCCTGGTCAGATTGGACGATAGCCACACAAGTCACACTCTCTCACACCAACCCTCTGACTCCTGCCTTGTTGTGCCTTTCCTCAGGGTTTCCAGGACATGCGTAGCACGGTCCCCCCCTACTTGTCTCTGCGGACACTGATCAACACGCCTGCCACCCGCCCCCCTCCCCCGAGGAGACCCCCGCCGTCACTCAGGTCACTCTCATCCACCAACACCACCACGGCCAGCACACCCCAGTCGCTGGCATCGATCGTGCCCAAGACGCGCAGTCGACGGCCTGCCGTGAACGGGGCGGCGCCGCCTCCATACGACGACGAGGACGAGCATTCGGCGGCGCAGAGGCCGCCTTCCTACTCGTCGGGCTTCTCTGCCACATGAAGGGTGGCTCCTTGGTTGGCTGGGCGGCTGGGTGAGCAAGACAGAAAGTGTGCTGTGTTTGATGGTGTGATGCATGTATGCGATGTGTGTGTGTGTGTTTGATGACGCGGAATGTCTACCGCTCTTCATCGCGTGGGCCGGGCGCGTTGTGGGTCACGCACGTACAGATGGGATGGGTGCTCTTTATCACATCCATATCCGTGTCATGTATGTGACGCGTGTTGTGTGGTGCTGTGTTCTGTTGCGTTTCATATTGATTGTACGCGTGTCGCGTTTTGACGTAGCTGGGTGTGGGGTGGTGTCGTGAGCCAGTCAGTGAGAGCGGGAGCCATGCTGACTAGTGCTTGTTTCGTACTGTGTTTCGCGATGGATGGATGGACGGGTAGGTAGGGCGTAGACGTATGAGCACTTTCTCACAGATGCAATGCTGCATCAATGTGACAGAACAAAGACAGGCTGAGCCTGGAGGCGATTTTTCGCTGTATGTGATGATGTTTACATGTCGTGAGAGGGGATGCGTAGTCTTGTGCTCGTGAGTGCATTGCACGCAGACGAGCTGGGTGTGGTCACTGTGGTGTTCATGGCTGTGCCGAGGCCAGCCACTGCCTGACTCACTGACCCTGAAGACGAGCAAATTTACACCGTGCAGCCGTTGGAATTCTTCTTGCATGTCGCTGCTTCCCGCGCTTCTCGGCCTCGTGCTCTTCTCCTTCGCAGCCTTCACTTGGTTCGCCCACCGAGTTGAAGTAGCGTGTCCCCTGCAAGAGCCGGCCTCTGTCGCTCCGCCCGCCCTCCTCCGCCATCTCCATGGCGCTGTTCTTGATGATGATGATGCGACAATCGCCAGCAGTTCATCCAGCAATGGCACCACGATACCCCGGCAGGTGTCTAATAATAAGGATGGCTCAGAGCGTGCGTCTGCAACAGTTACTGTCATCATCGTCTGCCTGTCTGCGCGTCTATCTGCCCGCTTGTCTGTTTCAGGTCTTCCTGACCGTCAAAGACAAGAACACCATGAAGAAGTGGCAGCGGGAGAATCTCGCCAGGTGCAAGAGGGTGAATCCTGGCTGGAACTTCAATGTCTACGACGACAGCGGGATGGACGAGTACGTCACAGAAGGGTTTCCTGAACTGCTTGACGTGTGGGGCTTCTTCAAGAACGTCATCGAAAAGAAGGTTCGTCGTCAGCAGACCAGCACCACCATGAGCCTGTACGGCCTCTCGCTGCTCTGTCTGAGCAGGACTTTTGGTCGTACTTGATAGTGTATGACCGTGGCGGGCTCTTCATGGACTCAGATATCCACTGTCGGCGGCCACTGGATGAGCTGCTGAGCGACAGCAACACAAGAGGTGAGAGTGACTTGACTGTGCAGACGGCATGTGAGTTAGTCGGCGAGTTTGTGCAGGCTTGATTGGTGTCGAAAAGGCTGACGGCGGGAAGCTGGAGTTCGCACAGGTACCATTACACTCCCCATTCTCATGCCCTCCCTCTGCTGTCCTTTGGCAAATGCAGTGGAGTTACGCGTTTGCACCGCGACACGCTATTCCCCTTACGACTCTGATGCGGATCAAGCACAAAGTGGAGGAAATTAAGGCTGCCGGCGCCTCAGACACCAGCGCCGTCTTCCTCACTGGGCCGATAACATGGACGGACGCCATCCTCGAGTACATGTATCTTTTCGGCATGGGGAAGGAGACGGTCATCGAGGCTCATTCAACAGCCCGTCCACAGGACCGCGTCGTGGGCGATGTGCGGCTACTGAGTGTCAATCGATTCGCAGCGGGCCAACCGCATTCGCATGCGACGCGTCGCTGCAGCCATCCCGATGCCTTTCTCATTCACCAGTTCAGCGGGCAGTGGAAGAATCACTATCAGTGGTACACAGCCGACGGAAAGCCGCCAGCGACGGAGAAACAGCCGTGGTGGACTTGGTTCCCCGAAAGAGGAGACAACTGGAGACCGCGGTGCTTCACAATCCGACGGTTTGATAGCACATGAGGGGGACGATTGAAAGCCCCATGCAGGGAGACCAGGAAGAGGGGATTCAGGACCAGCCGGGAGAACGCTTTGACTACTGCGTGATTTTCTTTTCATATATTCGTCAGCTGCCTGCTTGACAGATCAGCAGAGAAATATCCACCTTTCTTTCGCATGTTGAATGAGTTTTTTCCGTGTCTTGTTTCCGCAAAAGCTGAAAGACGGTTTGCACACCACTTGTCTGTTGAGTTCTGATGTGATTTGTATGATGTGAGCTTCATTATGTATTGGGAGGTTTCTCTGATGGCCCCATGGCGGGCTTGTGTGTGCGTGTGGTACCGACAGCTCGTCAACGTATCACGCTAGTGGGCTGTTGTCGTGGAAGAGACCTGACCTGCCACTCATACATGTGATAAGACTCATCCACATTCATTGCTTCACTGCAAAAATGTGAAGCAATGAAATCATCACTTCACTGCAAAAATGTGATGTGCCGACTTCCGCCCTGGTCCCGTTTTTGCAGGGCTGCTAATCGTTTCCATGAATGCCCTTTGTGTTTCTGAGGAGGCGTTGAAATGAAAGGGGGACGACCAGACATCTGATCTATGGGTCCAACATGACGACCGCATCTGCGCACTGACCAAAACACCCACATGGACATCCCACTCGGTGGCACACACAACCAGCACCGACAAGCGAACGGCGATAACCGCAAAGCCCATAGCCGTACGATACAGAATACCCAGACGAACCCGTCACCCTACGCACTGACACCGATGTAACCTACCCACACACACCCCACCCCACCGGCCCTGACTATCACGGCCGGTCTTGAGCAAAAAACAGACGGAAGTGCGGGCGATAGGGGCCACGGGAGATGAGGTCCTCCGGAAATGCACTCGCCCGCTGCTGGGCTTGCGCCTCTGCTGCACAGTGAGCCCGATAGGAAAGCTGACAGGCATTCCATTGGGCGAGGGCCACCGAGAGACGCTGCGCCCAGCGGCTCATGAAACCCGCATAAAACGACGCCCGATCCTCCTCACAGCAGGCCGGTAAGGGGGCACGGCGGCGAGCCAGTTTGTGCAGCAAGTCGATGGTCTGCTGTCCCCATCGGCCGCACGTCTCGGCAGCGAGAGGGACAAACACGTAGCCGGGCACCGCGCGCACCGTCGATCCATACAGCAGCTCCTTCCGCCGCTCCGCATGTCGGGCAGCGGTCCCCCCAGGCAACTGGGCATTCTCCCGGCGGATCCGCTGATGGGAGACGACGGCTGAGTCGTCAGGGCGGAGGGGGTGGGTCACCGTGACATCACACAAATAGCCGACGCCATCAGCCACAAAGAAGATGTCCATCCGCTGGTTGTTGGGGTCCGCGTTTGGCGGCGTCATGCCGAGCGCGCGCAGGGGCACCTCAGTCTGCGCAGGAATGCCGACCTCTGCCAAGAGATCGACGAAGGTGTCGCGGAGGAGATTATGCTTCAGAATGCGCTGGCTGGCGCCAAGGGGGCAGAGGAAAAAGTGGTCACCAAACTCGTCGACCGCTGCCCCACATGCACACACCCGGCCGAGTCGGGCAAGTGGAAGCGGCAAACCGAGGCATACGGCCGCTTGCGTGCGGAACTGAAAGTTGTTGAGGCACGTGCGGTGGTCGTAGCGGGAATATGCCGGCACCGCCGTCAGCCATCCGCATGACATAGGGCCCTGGCAGCTAAGTAGGCGTCCCCGCGCCCGGCTGTCGGCCGGGAAGAGAGCACGCAACGCCTCCCCATCCTGCGCAACCAGCGCGGCCGTCAGTCGGTGCTGCAGATGAGGGTAAGGGCGGGTCATCATGTCGGAGAGAGAGGGGATGGTGATGGATGGGAGGGATGCGCGAAGCGAAGAGAGAGTAGATGCTGCCTGGGCGAGCCACTGCACGGTCAGGAAGCTTCTGTCCCTTGCGGCATCCACGGCCGGTCGCTAAATCGCTCCATTACATCCCCAACAGTCATCGCCACCGACCCCAGAAAAGCTGCCGGTGCTCTCCGCTCGAGTGACCCCGCCCCAAAGCCCCCTCCCCTCAAACACAGCTGCAGCTGCCTTTTGGTCGCCTCGTCGACAGAACCCACAGTGAGGACCTGGGCAAAAGCGTCCACCAGCGCGTCATCCTCTCGCCGGGCAGCCGCAAGGAGCTCCGCCGAGGGGGGCAACATACGACACCAGTGTTGTGTTTCTGATCGGCGGTCGTGTTTAACGGGTGAATATACTGTCGTTCTTCCCTCAACATCGGCAAGGTGGGGCTCAGAAGATACAAAAAGAAAAAAGCTGACAGTCTTCGCTGTTCGTCAGATGTCTGCCGACGCCAGTGTCTTACTTCAAGGCCTCCAGCGGCTGCATGAGGACGTCAAGGTGAGAACAAGCAAGGCATACATCTCATCAGTGGACCCTTTGACTTGATCCTCGTCAGGCACGGTCGGAGAACCGGAGTAGTGGTAGTGCGTGGCTCTTTTCGGCGGCCAGTCATCTCTCCCTTGCCGAATCTGCGGTCGATGCGGCCGTACATGCACTCGCCAATGAGGCTGCAGCTGCCGCAGCTGAAACACGGCCAGATCAACCGAGTGCTGCAGAGGTGATAAAAACCAACCACAACGAAGAGAGAGTTGCCATTTGTCCTGTTGTTTGTGGGTGGTGCTGATGATGTTTCACGGCACTGTGGCTGATGCAGAGGCTGTCACGTCGGCGCCTGCATTCCGACTGATCCATGTGTCGGGGAAGCAGCCGACCAGCAACGAACCGGTGAGATCAGACAGACAGAGAATCCATTCGCCATCCTCTTTGCATCCTTCTGGTCCCATTCCTCTGCTTTTGCATCAATCAGGCGTCCCTTCGCCTCTCCCCCGATGAGCTGGCGACCCTGTTCGGCTACCATCAGCCATGGCAGCTGACGCGCATAGCACCAGCCCTCGGCCACACCGTCTTCAGCTGGGCGGCCGCCAACTGCACCCACCTCATCATTGACGGATCGAACAAGGGCGGCGTGCGGCACATCTGGGAGAAGATGCCGCCGCAGGTGGCGCACAGATGGGGACAGCGCATGATCAACCTCACACACATCTACGTCATCTGCCCCAAAGACCAGAACGGCAGCTTCCACGCCACCTGGTGTGACTGGATTTGGGTCTCCGTCATTGAGGGGAACGCGCAGGCCAGGAGAGCACGGAGCGAGCTTCAGGAGGGGTCGTCTCCCGCTTCGTCCATCAAGGTCCTCAGCTTCGAGGGAGACACCGATGGAAGGCCATGTCGTTTTTTCGACATCCCGTCAGTCCAGCCTGGCGATCCTCCCCCCTCGCCCGTCGACCTGTCCAACCTCGAGGAGATGCGGCGCCTGCCCTGCACGATAGTGAGCTTCCTCCTCAGCCGCCGACAGTGGCGCACGCCATCGCTTCGCGTCATGACCTTCACGGATCACGGCTGTGAGGCCGAGGAGCATATTGCCGAGTGGGCGAGCGGATGTGAGCACCTGGAGGTCCTCGATAGTGACGGCTGCATCCACGAGAAGACTGAGGTGCTCGGCATGCTTCCCACCGGCCACTCCCTCGCCCGGTTGAGGTCGATCGGCCCCCTCAAGCTGCAGTCACGTATCGGGAGCAGTGTCGCTGCCTTGGAGGACCACCTGGCCAGCTTACGCCAAGCTCTGCTCGACCGTGGGTGCCGTAGGACGCTTCGGGAGCTGTCCATCGCGTGGAACATCGGTGGCGCGATGCAGAAGGCGGCGTTGCGGGAGGTGGCACTGCTGTCGGAGCAGGTCATGCACCCAGATGCCCTCCAGAAGCCGCAGCTGGTCGAGGTCGACTCGGCAGCAGGCAGGAGAGGTCGACGCGAGATGGACCTGGAGCTCATCGGGTGGATGAAGAATGAGTCACGTCAGGTGGGTTGGGTGGCGTACAATGGATGCAGACCAACAATCTCGTGAATTCTTCCCTTGGCTGTTTGTCTGACTGTCGGTGTCTATGCAATCAGGTGCAGAAGATCGTTCGTAAGTCTGCCTCGCTCGCTGACGGCGTGTGCTTCGACCACACAGGGCCCGGCAGCTTGACGGATCCCGATGCTGCCGCAAACATGATCTTCTTCCCGCGCGCCGACACTTTCCGCTGCAGCAATTACTTCGTCCGGGAGACCCAGCTCGACGGCCTCGTCAAGACAGTCGCCAATTCGATGCCCAAGTGCCGCCGCCTGTGTTTCGGGACGTCCGTGTACCCCTACGACAGAGAAGCGCCAAGCAAAGCCGTGACCTTCCTGGAGGCGCTCACGGGCCAGATGGGCGGACAGGAGGGAAGGCGATTTTCTGTGGAGATCAACATCCCGGTGCGGGGCATTCTGTTGTCTGACAACTCCCATCCTTGGCCGCGGGGATTCCCCGGCAGGGATCCCCTGGTCAAGTGGGCAAAGCACGACTTGCCGCCAGTCGACGAGGTGCACATCGCTGTCCTTGGTACGCAGCAAGAGGAAGAGAGAGAGGGAGAGAGAACGTCCATCGCATTTGGCATTGCTGCCTGTCAGGTCGCCTGTCCAAAGGCTCTTCCACTCGCAGCTGGCCGTGTTCAACCTGCTCAGCACACCATACACCATGGCCATCGAGAGCGGCAGCATCACCATCGAGAGACGCCAATAAACGGCCGGAGTGGTAAGCCAGCGACAAGACAGCCAGATGGGACGCCGGATCGTGTGGTTTTGTCTCAGGTAGCTGTGTTTGCGCGTGAGTGTAGTGGAAACACAGCCGTTGACTTGCTGTGCGTGTGCTGCAAGCATGTTAGTGTTTCTGACTGTTGAATAGACTCGTGCCACATGCAGGCGGGAGTTCCAGTGTGTTCATCTGCACGTCAATGTTCGCCAACACATGCAGCGCGGTCATCATTGACCCACTTGCATCATAAAGCATGCCAGAAACACTCATCCACCGATCTATCCACCGATCCATCTCCCCACCTCCCCACCACACAATGAAAAAAGGCGACGACCTGATGGGCAAGCTGGTTCATGTCAGTCAGTCGGCCATGGTCAGTGCCCCTATGTCTCCGAGTGCCTTCTTGAGTACGTGTCTGACTTTGATGTAGACCCTCAGCGGCAGCTCCAGGCCCATCTCACGCACCACCTCCTCCTCCACACTCAGCTGCCGGTCGGCATGTGAGGTCGTGGATGTCGGGGGGGACGACCCGCTGCTGCGGTACTTGCACACACGCAGCAGACTCGACCCAGAGATCTCCAGCTGACACACAAAACGCACAATGACATCCAGACGTGTGGCGTTGCATCGACTTGCCCTCAGGATAATGTCTGCCAGTTGCTCGATGGCCGCCTTCAGGGCACCGTCCTGCTCGTGGTGGTCCTTGAGAGCGCGAGACAGCCACAGGGCGTCCATGCGGCTGAGGGCCGCGAAGTCTCGGTCGGCCCCAGCCATCATGCCCCTCTCCATCTTGTCGATGTCTCCGCCCGCCGTGAGGAAGGCGTGGAGGTCGAGAATCGTGGCGGGGTGGGCCACACCCATGGCCTCACACAACACAGTGCGGTCGTCGCGTAGAGTCGCCAGCACCTCACTTGGAGGCAGACTCTGACCCTCACCCTGCAGACAAACAGGCAACATGCAACAATGGTCAGATGCACGACATGCAGACGGGCCTGCTTACGTGTTCAAAGAAGGGCACCACAGCCAGCAGATCAGGCCGCTGCGAGGCCTTCATGGCATCGATGTACTCATTCCAGTCGCCATTGAGCTGGCCAGCCTCCTTTCCCATCTCAGCGTCCGCCGACCCTCCAGCCAAGGCGTGAGTGAGGGCAAGAGAAGAAGACGAAGCGACACTGCATGCCACACAGCCGCATCACCCACTTCACACGTGTCGCCTCCCACTGACTCACCCGCTCTCTGCCATAGCAAGCTCTGGGCGCCGATCATCCAGGCCCGCCTTGGTAGCCGGAGGCCTGAGGGGAACGCTCGAATACTGTTGGCAGGAAGGCGACTCGACCATCTTCGACCCGCCAGATGGTGGACGTGACGTAGCGATCAGCCGCGGTCTGCCGTTGAGATGCGGCTTGCCGACGTCCGCCGGGCACAGCGAAAGCATCGACGTCGGCATGCCGACCCGACCATCCTCACGACTACAGCCAGGTTGAGCAAAAAGCTCATTCTGGCTCGGTCCACCGACCTCCCTGCTCGCCCCTGCCGCCACGATCTGCTGCTGTTGCTGCTGCTGCTGCTGCTGTTCCCTCTGTCGCATGAAGCTCAGGAAGGCCTGGTAGTCCCTGGATGAGGGTGAGGGCGAGACGAGGGAGAGGGAGGTGGTGGGGAGGGGCATCGCAGCCGCCATGCGGGCCGCACGGATACGCTCGTCGTTGCAGGAGGGGGACACGCTGCCTTTCATCTCAACTGAAAGAGAAAGGATGCACCCACAGCTCACATACGCGCATGGATGTGGGTGACTGCTCACCTGATGCACTGAAGTCGATGTCCATCGGCGACTCGTCACGCTTCACCTTCCGCCGACGCTTGCGTCCCCCGCCTGACACACAACAGATCATCCCCTCCGTCTCTATCTGTCCTGTGGTGCCCACCCACCCAATCCAACCGACCCACCTGTGTATTGGTCCATGTCAATGTCTTCCGCATCACCTGCCAGCAGGCGCTTGGCCATCTCAGCCTTCATCTCAGCCGCCGTGCGGCCGTCGTTTCGCCGCCTCGCTGGTACGCGATAGAGCGAGTCCGCGTCATCCTCGCTTTCCTCCTCGTCCTCATCTGACTCACTGTCGCGATACCGAATGGTCCTCCCTCGTGTCGACACACCGCCGCCCCGGCCACCTCTGCTCCTTGTGGTCGCCCGGCCCACGCGGCCCCTCGCCCTGCCCCGCCTGACGACCCCCTCCCCGTCCTCCTGCTTGATCACTCCATCGAAGTCGAAGCCGAGCGGCTGAACGCGTCGTATCTTGGGGGGACGGCCAACCCGACTACGACCACGGCCCCGACCACGGACGGGAGCCTGAAGGCAACACAGAGAGATAAAAGGAGAGAAGGGTGCAGGCGTGTCGTCATGCATGCCATCTCTCAACCTCTCACATGCGGTTGGTCCGGTTGGTTGTCACTTGCGCGTTCGCCTGAGTCGAATTCCTCCATGATGTCCGCGTACGTGGCCGGGTCGGGCAGGCGGGGAATCCCCACGGCATCGGCCAGCCGGTCGCGATCCGACGCCGCCATGGCAAAGGCACCACGCAACCCTGACAGACAGTGACATCATCGCACACAAAGAGAGGAGGATAGAGTCAAATGGCCCACCATAGCGCATGTGCATGTGGTTGTGGTGTGGTGTGGTTTGGTGTGGTGTTTGTTCACCTAGCTTAGCGACGCGTCTCAGCGATCCCCTCTTCTGCTGTGCGCAGGGCACCGCCTCCTCCTTGACGGATGCGAAGAAGGCAGCCTTCTTGTTGCTCATGTAGATGCCCAGGTAGACGGAGTCGCTGTCGGCTGACGTGAGGGCCCTGACTCGGTCGGTGACCCGCCGCCGCAAGTCCTTCATGAGGTCAAGGGTGGCACGGTGCAGTCGCATCTGCAGCGGCTGCTCCTCATCCTCACACTCACTCCCGTCCGACTGCTCGCCGTGCTGCTGAGGATGGTGGGGGACATCGCCGGGCTCCGCCTTGACCGTCCGCCGCATCCGTCCCTGACTTTCGGTGGTGTGGCTCGCCACGCCAGCCTCGTCCATGTCATCCTCGACATGGTCATCCGCCCCGCCCCCCAACCCCTCCCACTTGGCCCAGTCCACCTGCTGCAGAATGGCGTCCACTTGTTCTCTGGGCAGCGGGTGCAGCGACCACTCAGCGGCCTTGGCGTTGCGCCTCTCCACCGCACACTCGACGGCCTCCCTGAGGGAGGGGAAATCCGCACAAACCACCTCCTCTCTCAGCTGGCCCTCCTGCTGGCGGAACCCCACCATGATCTTTTCGATGGCCGTCGGCGGTGCAGCGTGGGTGGTGCTGGGCACGGCAGAGAGGCCGAGGGGTGCCTCGGGCGGCAGGAGTGACCTGAGTTGCTCGATGAGCGACACCTTCATGCGGCGGCTGTGGGTGTGTGGGACGGGGGCCGGGCCGGGGGGCTCATTGTTCTGCCGTCTCTTGCGTCGTTTGGGTGCGGTGTCGAGGGTCTCGTAATTGCTCCAGTCCTCTGTGTCGAGGACGTGGTCAGCCTGGTCGATGGGGATGGGCGCGAGGCCCAGTCTGGCTGCGATGTTGTTGCGGATCTTGATGGCCTCGCGATAGGCCTCCTTCATAGGCCACTGTGAGGTGTGGAAGTCCTTGATGTTGACGTACTCGCCCTGGATCTTGTTGAAGCACACGCGGACCTTGGCCCACGGGTCCCTCTTGGTCGGCCGCCACGGGCAGACGCCCAGAGGCTGACGGTCGGGGATCAGCGCACGCAGACGCAAAGTGGGCGGGAAAACGCTTGGGTCGGGCTCGCCATTGGCTGCACTCTGGTTGGAGCTGCTGGCGTGCCGTGACTCGGACAGGCCGTCAGGAAGTGTCAGCGAAGGGTGCGGCGGCGCCTTGGCGTCCATGTCCCTGGCCTCGGCCTCGCCGCCCATGACAGGGAGGAGCGGGTGGTCGTTCATCTCGTGCGTCGCTCCATCCCCCCTCTCGACAGGGGGGAGGAGACCGAGTGCACCGTTTTGTGGCGTGGGAGGCGGAGGGGGGGCGGATGGTCTGGGCGGCGAGGCGCCTGACTTGTCCGCCTGACGGGACATCTTGGCGGGAGGGCCGCCGTCGGGCAGAGGCCGGTGCTAATTGACCAAAAGGGAACACACAGAGCTGTGAGTGTGTCCGTCTGGTGCTCAGGTGGTGTCTTGTTGTGGTTACCGGTGATCTGCGAGAGGCCGATAGCCACTCCTGGAACATGGGAGCGGTGGGCTTGGACAGACGAGACTTGCTGTTCGCACTCTGACAGACCAACCACAGCGAGAGAGATCCATCGGTGGATGGTGGGTGGGTGCGTGAGTGGCAGTCTGAGCGACCTTGTATTTGTCTTCTTGGTCCTTCTGTGAGCTCTCCAGCTCAGTCAGGCGCGCCTTCTCGTTGCGGATCATTACTGTCAGCTCCTGACACACACACACACACAGATAAACAACCATCGATGTTTGTGCGGGCGGATGAAGCTAGTTGTGCATGCAGGTGGCGGACAGACAGACCTGCAGTGCCTCCTCCTTGCGCCCGATCTCCATACCCAGCTGCATGCGACAATGCATAAATAGTAAACGAACCGAACGTCAGGATGGCATCGCCTAACTTACGTCTCTGTTGCGACGCTCGTCTTCGGGTGAAGTGACAGTCGTCGTCGGCACCCGTCTGCTCGCCAATTCCTGACACAGCAAGGAGTGACAGATCATTCAGTGCACACGGCTCTCTTTGGTGTCCGTCGGTGAATGACGTGCGCACCTCCTTTTCCTTGCGAATGAGTCTGCGAAGGTGTCGCTTCTGATCGATAGACAGGCGCACCTGCACAAACAACCAATGGACAGTCCAGACAGAGCATATCCGTGTTCATTATGGGCATTGGCTCTCACGGCGGCTATCTCTTTGATGCGCTCCTGAAGGGCACGCGAAACCTGCACAGAGAAAACCTACAAAGTGCAGTGCATGGAGTAAATATGCTTTTGCTATGTTCATGTACCGATCGCAGCTGTGACGCGGGATCATCGCCAGTATCCTCATCCATCTGACACAAGAAAATCAGGGACGCTTCACTAGATGACGTCGGTGTTTCTTCGCATCTCTGTGACAGTCTGTCTCACCCACTCACCCTGTCCGTTGCTTTGTCTGCTGTGTGTGTCGCCGCGAGTCGGTTTCTGACGTCGGCGGCGCATCGGATGAGCCGCCGGCAGTCGAGCGTGAGGGTCAGGTCGTCCAGGAACTCACGCTGTGTCCGCTTGCCGATCGTCTTGAAAAACGACTGAGACTTGAACCTGTGTGCACACCAGCACAGAAGGCAACGATGTCACACACAAGGGGCCTTCAGGAGACAAGCACAGAGACTGAACATGTGTCGTGGTGTCCATGTGTCTATCTGTCACTCACAGGCATGGATGTGTCCGCATGCAATACGTGCATTTTGTATGTGTGTATGTGTGTAAGTACCACGTGTCGCGTCCCTTCTCGTCGTTCGGGAAGGGGTTCTTTTGGTATGCGGCGTCGAACTGTGCGATGAGGCTATGGGCGCTCCTGGGGTGCTCCGCCTCACCCGCATAGCCGCCCTCACACGCCCACTTGGCCGACCAACGACCAAGACACCCGTGCACACAAACCACCACCTCCTCACGCACGCCACCCGTGTCTCCTTTGTCATGGGACACGCCAGCCTTCTCCGCTGCAGCTGCTGGCGCGGCGGGAGGCTTGGCGGCCACCGAGGGGCTGGCCGGCATCGGAGCGGCCGTCTGCGTTGTGTCTGGTAAGCTGTGCTTAGCTTTGGGAACCAGGTCGGGTGGCGGTCTGAACATGGGAGCCTCAAATAAGGGCTGGAGAGGGGGGTTCGTGCGCAGCGGTTCGTTGGGGGGATACTGGGGAGCCTCCACGCTCGGCTGAGGCGCGTGTGACTCGACACCTGACCCAAAGAAAGAAGACGCGTTGAGAGGCGGAGGGTTTGTCGTTCTTTTCGTGACGTTGCCAGACAATCGTGTCTCACCCTCTATCTTTGTAGTGACGTTGCCTGCGTCACTGACTGACATTCCCTCTGCACACGGGCTATCCCGTTACGTCAAACTTTTTACACACGATACGAACAAAAACAAACAGAGGAAGTCTCGAAGTTGAACAGCATGCGCCTCCACGAACCCGTCAGGGCTCAATGGGGCCTGGTTCAACACAACACGCTACAAAAGAATGCCACCGCTGGCGATCGGTGCGAGCTTGGAAGCGAAGTCGAAAGTAGCGAAAGGGAACCTCCAACAGCTGCCTTGGATGATTTGGGGTGTGTCTTGCTCACTTTTGTTCTGTTCTGGTGCCGACGTTTTGTTCCTTCCTCCCTCGTGTGCTGACAAGCCGAGATCTGTGACAAACAGCGCCTGTCTGCATCGCAAGAGGCGCAGGAGCCTCAGGTTGTCTGGGGGCAGCCTCTGTGCGATGGATGGCGACTCTTCGTGGGACGTGTGGACATCTCTGGGCTCGCCGCGCTATGTCTGTTCGCCGATGGTGTCGCAAAGCGAGGCGGCCTTCCGCATGATGACCAGAAAATACGGCGCTGGTACGCCCGGCAGCAAACACGAATTGTTGTCAGTGCATTTCTCTGTGCATGTCTTATTTCTGCTGTGGATTGGTGTGCAGATTTGGCCTGCACGCCGATGGTGCACAGCAGGATTGTGCTCGAGCACCCGAAGATCATGGCCAGAGTGATGGAAGGTGAGGCGGCAGGCACACACAAGGCACAGTGCACATCCCCTGGTCGACGACTGACTGCATGCCTCTCGCCATTCCCGTTGATCAGATGTGCAGTTCGCGGACGACCGACCTCTGAGTGTGCAGCTGTGCGGCAACTCCCCGCCACACTTCATCGAGGCCGCCAAGGCGCTGGAGCCCTTCGCTGACGTGACTGACATCAATCTCGGCTGTCCGCAGGGCTGCGCCAGGAGCGGCGGATACGGCGCATTTCGTAAGCAAGATAGATGAAACGAGATGACAGCGTCCCTCGTCATGTGCTGTCTGTCTGTCTGTCTGTCTGCCTGTCTGGGTGTGTTGTTGGTTGCAGTGCTAGAGGACCTGTCGACGGTCGTGAGGATAGTGGATGGGCTGCGTTCCCACCTGACTAAGCCCGTGTCGGCCAAGATTCGCCTGCTGCCCTCATGGGAGAGGACAGTTGACACCGTCAGGGCTCTCGAGGCTGCCGGCGTGGCCTTCATCTGTGTCCATGGCCGCACACGATTCAACACCAAGGCCGACACCGGGCCGTGCGATTGGGAGGCCATCCGGCGACTCAGGGAAGTCACGTCCCTGCCGATCATCGCCAATGGGGGCATCGAGACCCACCACGACATCCATCAGTGCTTTGAGGCGACAAGTGCGGATGCCGTCATGAGTGCAGAGGCCTTGCTCGAAGATCCCAGCCTGTTTGCCCACGACGAGCACGCGCCTGCTGACCCCTCACAATCCCCGCTGGCCTATGCGCACCACCAGCTGTCGATGGCCTTTGAGTACCTGTCGTTCGCACGCCGCTATCGCCTGGAAGGTCAGGAGTTTTATGCGACGGCCCATGTGTTCAAGATTCTCTATCGGCTGCTGGTGTGCCATCTCGACCTCACCAAAGCCCTCGATCGCAAGGGCCAGACACTAGACGGCATCCAGCGAGTCGTCGAGTCCCTGGCACACAGATACGACTACGTTGAGACTCACATGAGTCAGGAGAATGAAATTGGGCGTGAGTATCACTTGGGACCGAGCTCTTGGTATCGGAGGCATCGGCAGAGACGAGAAACATTACAGGGGTCAGCTGCTGAGAGACGGGCGGGGGGAGGGAAAGGAATGTCGAAAGCAGCTGTCAGCAACCGCCTGGCGATATTTGCATGACGGCCAGCTTGGCGGCCGTGTCCTTGTGGTCCCGGAGTGATCAACTGACTGAGCTGTGTAGATCGATTCGTGAGAGAACTGAATTGTATGGATGTGTGCACATGACATTGATTTACCTACACGGCACAAACGCGATGCTTTCGTATGTAAAGAACATCTGCCATCTGACCATCCCCGTCAACCGCTCGTCCATTTGCTTCTGTTGTGGCTTCATGAGCAACGAGCGTCTGTCGGCATGTGTTGCACAGCACGCGATTTGTGTGAGCTGGAACTGTGCCGATCGATGCGTGAGAGGATGATGTGTGGCAGGTCGGTGTGTGCACATGACATTGATTGACTTACACGGCACCAAACGCGTGACACCCAGACACCTCACAACAATTTGAGAGCGTTGTACAACGCAGCGAATGTGACGAACATGTGTTTTGAGTCTATCATCTCCGTGTCCTTTCTTTCTTTCTTTTCTTTCTTTTCTTTTCATCCACCGAGCCGTGCAGCTGTTGTCTCATTAACAGCACTTCGTTGTGCTCCTCGCTTCTATCTTTGTCAATCGCTCGTCCATCAAGGTCTGTCGCTCCTCCACCCTCTTCAAGACCGAGGCACAAGGCAAACGCAAAAACGGGTGCAGCTTCGGCAGGTGATCTTCAGCCATCACCTGACAGCATCTCGGATTGAGAAGAGTGAATCTCATCTTTGACGTACGCCTCAAAGTGCGTGAGCGCTGCAACAATCGAAAGAGACACGAGTTGCTATGCCATGCCGTGGCCGTGTGCGTTTGTGGCTCGCCTGCCATGATGTCCGGAGATGTCGTGTCGTGATGGTCCGCGGCCTCCATCCACTTCTCGATGCTGTCTTTGTATCCATCTAAACCGTGAAGTGCTCTACGCCTCTTTATGGCTTTCCCTTCCTCAGTGTCCTCGAAAAATTCCTTTGGCAACACACACAGATTCGATTGCTGGATGGGATAGGCCACTCTGAGTTTTGTTGACTCACCTTTGCTGTGACGTAACGATAGAGAAGCCACAAGGGCATCACGAGGATGACATCGAGTATTTTGAATGCGTCCCAGATCTGGACCGTCTTCTGCACCTCTTGTCCAGTATTGTCCTTCGTCCGATACTGTCGCCGCTGTATCGCGTCCCGTATCGCTTGTTGAAGCTCCTCCAGCTGACGGTAGATGGCTATTGGAGTGAAGGCGACAGCCCACAGGAGCGCGTCGATGGCGCAGTAGAGGGCCTTCATCGACCAGAAGGCAATGCGGCAGAGTGCCGACTGCCGGCCGCTGATGAGGTTGGCGAGATGCCGCAGGGGCTCCGACACGACCACAGCTGCACACACACAGACAGATGCTCACATGTGATAGATGCAGCTGATGTCTCTTGTCGGTCGCACCGACCGATGAGGTTGAATGGCGGCGGGAGCCGCTCGTGGACAGGCATATTCAGGTACTCATTCAACACGCGAATCCGCAGTAGCCTGCAGAGATGAGCGAAGAGAGAGGGAGCCCTTATGTGTCGCTGTCAACTGTCTGTCTCCCTTGCATGTCATCTGTCTCACTGGTACTGGGCTGTCTGTGTCTGCTCGATCGCTGCATACGTCGACGCCTGAAAAGACAGACAAGACAGACAGACAGGAGCACGCTGGGGTTCCTTGTCTGCCTGTCTTACCATGATGGCGATGAGCAGGTTGAGCTATCGATACAGACGGGCAGAGAAAGAGAGACAACAACAAAGGGAGTCATTGTGTGTGTGGCTCGTCCATCGGGGGAAGTGAGTGGTGTTGACTCTCACGTACGAGTATGATGGAGGAGAGGATGACGTATGTGAACAGCAGGACGGTCCCCAGCGTGTCGTGGCTCTCGATGGCGTTGCTCAGCGCCTCATTGAAGTCGCCAAGACCCCCGTAGAAACTAATGCCATGCAGCCAGCCAACAGCACATGACGACTGGCGCTCTCTCTTCGTGTGTGTTGGTGTCATCAAGTACAGTGTGAGCATGGCTTTGGCGAAGGAGCCGAAGTACTGGTGGTCTTCGTCGGACGAGAGGAGGGTGAAGACGACCGCGAAGACGAGGAGGATGTAGACGTACAGACACAGAAACATGCTGATGTCCGAAAACATCCTCACCACCGCACTGACACACACACCCATCACACACACCATCAGAAACCTCTCTCTGTGTGGCTCTGTGTCTCTCTCACTGACAGTATGAGTGGTCCCACGGCTGGGTGCAGACTGGCGGTTTGGAGGAGGCGCAGCGCAAAGAGCAGCACTATGACGACCCCTGAGCCGACCTCCGCCTCCGACGACCACCCAGCGAAGTGGACGGCAATGAAGGCGATGATGGAGACGCCGCTTGCGAAGTCTACATAGTTCCTTAATTTATGAATTCCCACACGCACCGACAGCACACAAATGAAGCCGCCAGCACGGTGGGCTGCGCATTGCCGACACGCACCATGAGTCGGCCCAGTACACTGCCTTCAAACGGATGAACTGCACACACAGAAGACGACACGTGTCACTGTTGATCAGTCAGGCATGTCTCCTCTGATCTGCCTTACTTGGAAGATTTCCAGAAGGATGAATCCGGTGCCGGTCAGCACTGTCCCCCACAGCCACACCGACGGCCACACCAGTGCCATCATCATGCCGCTGTCTCCCTTGATCGACTCGATGTGCAGCAGCACAAACGCCACCCTGACATACACACAGACGAGCCATGCCGCACGCCTCTCTGCCTCCATCGATGTGCATTGGTCAGTGCGATTTGCTGCGGCTTTACATCAGCAGCATCGATAGCACGCGGCTGATGAAGACATCACGGGGCGACAGTTTGATCCTCCAGTTTTCGTAGTCCTGCTTCCAATGCTTTGTGACGAGGGAGGTGCAGTTGGCTGTCGCAATCAGTTGCAGCAGAAGGAAGAGAGGAGACATGAGCGGACCGACAGAGGGGAGGGGGAAATCCTGTGTGTGACTCACCTTGGGTGACGACAGAGAGGGGTTCCGCAGCCTCGAGCAACGCAAACCAATCTCTCTCTTCGCCAGCGAGAGAATCTTCGCTGGTATTGCTGCACAAGATGGCTGTGTGCGCCTGAAGCAATGCGAGATTGAAAATTGCCGTGTGTCGTATGTCTCTTTGTCACTGTTTACTTCCTGCCAGTTGGCAATTTTCGCAAAGTCACTGACACACACACATATTCACAGTGCAGATATTCGCCTCTTGTCTCCTCCTTCTTCTTTCCATTGTACTCTGTGAGGGAGTCTATCGGTCGCAATTTGATCTGTTTGCGGAAGAAGGCACAGAGGCGAAGGCTGTCGAGCCCAGGCAACTCAGAGTGGTCCTTGAGGAACCCCTTCGTGGAGGGCACCACCTCTTTAAGAGCCCAAGCATTCACACGTTCCACTTTCACCGACATGGCGACGTCCCCGGCTGCGACAATCATCGGTGTGACGAGTTTTGGGTTCATCAAAAGGGCATAATCCAGAGGCGTAGCTCCGTCCTGGCAGAGTCATGAGGAGGAAGAACATCGACAGGCAGCTCGACAGGTGCGGTGCAGCCTACGTTGTCTTTGATCTTCACGAGGTGTGGATTCGCCGTCAACATCCACTTCACCACATGGGCACGGGCCCGTTCTCCTGGAAAGCGCATTGCCATGAGGCTGTCATTTTGTTGAATAACTGACCTGCTGCAGACAAACCGCTGGACCAAACTACAGGAGAGCGTCAAGAGACACAGTGAAGAACCCTGTGTGACTGTGTTGAAGACTCATGCGCCTGGGTGGCTGTCGTTCGCACGAGTGACTGACTTGCTGCATGATGAAGAGGCGTCTGGCCATCCTACAGGCACAGCATGAACAAGACACGTGCTGTTCAATGCATCACTCGACATTCGGTCATCTTTACCTTGGTCCGAGCTTCCAGCAGCTCCTTGCCGCCCCACTCGATAAACTTCTTTACAACATCGACTGACCCCTGGTATGCTGCTGCTGCCATATGAAGAGGCGTGCGGCCATCCTACAGACACAGCATCAAGATTGCAGTGAAAACACCGGTCGGCGAATGGGCAGAATGAGTGTAATTGTCGAGCACGATACCCTATCCTTCAGGTTGAGCAGGTGGTGTCGGTTGTCCAGCAGCACCTCAAACACAGCCACATCCTTACACCAGTCTGAGAAGCACACAAAGGGGCCACGTGACTCCATCATGTGTGTGCAGCGATGTGACGATGCCTACCTGCGGCACAATGGATGGCAGATCCCCAAGGGTCCCACTCTCCAGTCGTCAGCGCTTTCTCGGCTTGCTCAGGCGACAGACCGGCGAGGGCCTGCCGCAGACCCTCCGCATCTGACCGAAGGATGGCCTCTTTGATGCTGTCTGTCAGGGCTTCTGTCGGCTCCCAATCGTCGGCGGCCGGGGCACCCACCAGGGGAACCTGCAGACCACACACAGACGCCCAAGAGACCTCTCAGAGTGTGTGGTCACGCCGCTGTCCGCATCACAGCAACAGACCTGCTCGATGCGTCTCGGTGCCTTGGTGATGTCATCGGTGACGTCGGGCAGCTGGGGCTCCATCAGCCCTGGCTCATCGTCCTGCAGCAGAGGGACCTGGTCACTCGAGGCCGACGCTGACATCTGCAATGCCTTGAGGGAGGGAGGGACACAGACAGCAGAGGCCGATGACCACACACGCAGAGATGCACTAGGAGCATTGCAAGGTGACCTTGGGATGGCCCGTCTGTGTGTGGTGGATGGCCTGCTGTGCGGCAGCGTCGCCCTCGTCGACTCTCGGCAGCTGGATGTAGCACACCTCCTCAACACCACTGGGGCGGCTGTGGCCGTCTCTCCCACTGCTGCCCTCCTGGCCCTGCAGCCGGGGAGTGCGCTGGCCCTCAAGGAAGCCCAGCATCCCTTCCCCGGGGGCGCGACAGTCCAGCTGGCAGTCTCAGAGACTCCGCCCCCAGAGCTCGCCAGAATCAACTTGAAGAAAGCGAAGGTGGTGGTGGTGGTTAAGGGTAAGATTGTCCGTGTGTCCATGCGCTGGGACGGTCGATTACATGTTCGCATCTAAACTATTGACAGCAACGATCAAAACATTCGCTACCTACCCATTCACGCCCACCCACCCACCCCCTGCAATCAACGAGGGTGGAAAGGCCCCCGCTCTAGCAACAGCCCCTCAGCAAAACCCGCCCTCTCCTGCCCATTCCACCTGCTTGCCCGCCACGCCCTGCTCC